CCGCCCCGCCTCTCCCAGGGCCTTCCCGCGCCTCTGCATCTAGCCAGGATCGAAACTTCACTCACAGCACTGACCCCTCCACTGGAAGGGAGGGGGCTCCTTTGCATGCCTACAGGTGCAGGGACGTGGCCACACTGCACACCCTGGAGAGCCCCTTCCCACACAGCTGGTTGTGTTACTGAACAGCCCCCCAATCCCTTTGGATCAATGCGATACAAAATAGCACTGGTCTACATATGCTCCATGTAGTACCTGGCTTTAAGTAGCAGTTTGGGGATTTAGGATAGTTAATATGTCAGGTGCCGTTTTGCTTTCTGCTTTAGTTTACAGCTTGTAGCGCTGTTATTTAATCCAAAGAAAAATATTAACCCTTTCTATTTACTTTGCTTGTCTGAAGTCCCTAAAACTGTTATTTACCAGTTATTTTATATTGTCTTCTTTTCTGTGCTGTAAATATTAGGGTGAAACATTTTGAAAAGATTTAGCCTTAATAGAATTTGCACTTTAAAGCCTTTTATTGTATCCTGTTGTTTATATCAGTCACTTATCCGTATAAAATCAGCAACAGTCAAATTTTTTGGCGCTGCAAAATGTCAATAGCTTTGTCTATGATGCACTGAGCAAGCGGCATGTCCAAAGCACAGTAATCATTGCAGATCTACAATAAGTATTTCTGACTAGCGTGAAATACTGGCAATACATTTCTTACCACAATTTTGATCTGGCTCAGTGTTTCTGTGTTTGCATTTATCTTTTCAAAGTGGAATTGAATTTGCATGTAGCTGGTGGAATTAAATAACCAAGGGACCAAGCTGCAAATGTACTCTTGAGAAAAGAATAGCTTGTATCTCCTGCCCAAACTCCCTGCGCAGCAGTGTGCATGTATTTACATCAACTGAGCATTTCATATTATAAAATTGGGGGGAGGGACAAAGGAGGGAAATTGGCCTGGTTAAAAGGCTGGAGGGGGCAGTCTGGCTGAGAAGCTGGGGGGATAGTGATAGGGTTCCTTCCAGGTGGAAGAGATTGGAGGGGGAGGAGGATGGAGCAATTTCTTCCCACTTTATCATAATCCCAAATCTCTCTGCCCCTCCCCCAAGCAGCACTGCTTAATTCAGTTGCCCCAGTCAATAACCCTGCCCCCTCCCTGATACCCCCAATGATTCCTGTCCTGCCTCTGCCCCAGTCCCACCCCTCATATGCTAACGATTCCTTCCTCCTCCACACACCAATGAATCCTGCCCTTCATACACGAGAGTAGCCTTTCCCACACCCACATGACTCCCACCTTTCATATCCCAGTGACCCCTGCACCAGGCTAGGTTTCCCTTTCTCCCACCCACACACCTCCTTGTCACACTGCTGCCTCTGTCCTGTAGCTCCCCAGGCAGTCGGTCAAGGTATTGCTCTGCTGCCTCACACCGCTGCTAAAGCTGACAGGCCAGAGGAGGATAGGGGACAGTCCAGGCGGTTACTCCCCTACCTCCTGCCAGCACAGTGGGGAACAACCAGAGTCTATAGAGGGGCCAAAAGTCTCCTCTCAGCTCCTTGCCAGGCTTGGAGAAGGGCTGCCCAGTTGGTGCAAGTCTTACCCTTGAGGCTTGCTATCCTAGTTCCAGTCCCTCCTCCTCCCCCAGTCTCTCTTCCTGCCCCGTCACAGGTTTGATGCCCAGCCAATCCCAGTTCTATCACAATGCCTGGTCTCCAGTCTGTTTGGCCAAACAGCCCTAGGTCTTCCCTCCCAACTTCTGCTCTTAGCTCTTTCCCCTCCCTGCCCCTTAGTGCCCAGTCTTGGTCTCCCCTGTAGGGTTCTCATCTAACCTCAGTCCTTAGCTTTTTGTCCCAGTCTCTGCTCAGCCGGTCTCAGTATGTCCCTGGCACCCACATAGATGTTGGACCCATTGCTCCTCTCTCTCACAGTGGTTCCAGATAGTCCCAGTCTGATTTCATTGTTCCCCTCGTTGTCAAGTGGGTTCCAGGCCTTTCCCTTTACTGGCTCCCAGTCCCAGTTTTCTGGCCCAAATAGTCCTCAATGCCTTCTTGGCTTCCCACTCTGTTTCTTTGCCCATCGGTCCCAGTCTCCTGTCCAGTGCCAAGTCTCCTTGCACAGACCGTCACTGCCTCCTTCCGCCACCCCCGCTCCGCCTCAAATCCCAGACTCATCATTCTCCTTTTTTCCAAGCCTACTCCTTTTCCTTTCCTTTGTTTGGCTCTTCTCCCCACTGCATTGGAATGAGATCTCCTCCTCCATGCTACTGGCATGCTAGCCGAAGGACCTACACCAGCCATTATGGAAAAGCTTTGTACCTCTAGCCCTGGGCAGGTCAAATGCGTGGTCATTCTGTCAGCTTTAGGAACTACGATGGCTGGAATATACTTGGTGAGGATGGGCACTGCAATTTTCGCTATTAAGAGCAAAGAAGGCTTTGCTGCACATGTGTAAGCTATTATTTTTAAAGGATTATAACTTGGCTAAATGTTGGAGATTTTCATAGGCGCATCAAAAAGCACGTCCCTGGCACAATGCCTGTCCCTCACCAAATGTCAACTTTCTGTGCCAAAGCACGAAGATGGGCTAGAAAGGTTCAAAGAAAAATGCATCTGAATTTTTAACATGGGACCAATTACAGTAAAACTCCAATAGTCCGGCATCCAATAGTCCAGCACTCCTGATAGTCCGGCATCAAAATGGCAAGAGCCTAGTGAGTGAGCTTCTGCAAAAAATGAGTCACAAGGTAACAGCGGCAGCAGCTGAACTGAGCAAAAAGGGTAAAAAAGGCTTAAAAAACTAAAACATTACAGTACTGTATACAGTATGTACAATAAAAAGGGTCAAGAACACTTTATATATAGTATATAGTGTATACAGTATATATATAACCAGCTTATAGTACCTCCTGATAGTCCGGCATATTTGATAATCCGGCACCACCTAGGTCCCATAGGTTCCGGATTATCGGAAGTCTACAGTACATGATTTTTGTCCTAGCCTCAACAGCGGAGCCATTTTGGACTGACATTTTCCAGCCTGTAATGTGGTTTATACCCCTCAGAGATAGAAGGGGGGGGGGTAACAGGTGTTCGCGAGATCAATTAGCATATCTGGATGGACTCAGGCCTCATAGGGAAACCTAGCAGGGAAGGGCTGGAGAGTGTTACAAAGGACATTAGGAGCAAAAGGGGGTAGTAGCAGGAGGTTCTGCAGTCACTCTTCTGGTCGTGACAGGTCCTGTAAGGAACAGGTGGGTGCTGGTAAGGTGAGGAGAAAACCTGGGGAAGGCTAAGTAGGTGGAAGTCCACAATGGTATCAATAAGGCGTATGGTGGAGAGAATCTTCATAGCTTCTCCTAGGGATTCCTGTACTGGAAGGAAACCAGTGAAGTGGCTTACTAGCCACCTGTAAAGTGGTATGAAGACTGTGAACTACTGGAAGCCCTGAGAAAAGGGTGTATGAAGCACTAGGCCCAAAACGGAGCTTGACAGACTAGACAGAAGGATTGGCTCTGTTTTTAGTAGATGTCTTGTGATCTTGGAAGGGGTGGCACTAAAGTGTGACCTAGCTAGGAAGCTGAATCACATGACCACTGGAGACCGGCTGTGACTGTTGCTGGAGGTGCCAGCTCTGGAGAGGAGGTCCTATGATGTCATGCCCAACTGGAGGGGGGCAAAGGGACTCCAGCTGTGTGCCTATTCTGCTGGCATCTAGCATGGAAAACTTCAACCTGAAAGGTTAAAGATGGGTCAAGGTAAGCCTAAAAATAATCTTATAAAAGGGATGTGCCAGGCAACCTTAATTCATATATAGCACTACTAGCCTTGTCTAGAATACCCAGATCTTTTGCTGTGACCTTCATCAGTAGATCTCAAAATGCACAATATAATCAGCTCCTTTTACAGAAGGGGAAACGATTTGCCCTTCTTCTTAAAATCCAGTATTTCACACAAGGGCCACCTGCAACAGTGATTACACATTGTGTGAAGATACATTTCCTTTTCTTTGTTCTAAACTTACTGGCCATTTCTTCCACTGAATGACTCACCGAGTGAGCTGAACACTAGCATATCTTTCCAGCAGGCACTGATCCTACTTCTTTGCTGGAATTTAAAATGTAATTTTTCAGTGTTTTGCTTGAAGTAAAAAGCAGAAATTCTGCAAAGATCAAAAGCCTTTTTAAAACAACAACAACAACATAATTTGCAAGGAAGTACTGTTATTTGGAGGACTGGATCAGTTCTGCATGCTTACTTTACCATCTATCACCAATTTAATGCATCCAACCTCAGATTTGTAGCATTTGTCTTTCTAGTTTATCAGGTAAAGCATAATATAGTGGTGAATACGTTACTAAAAACGTTAGGCTACTTATTGTAGTGAGGGGGAAATGATGAGTCAATTTTAACGGATTAAGGATTTTATTTTGAATTTAACCATGTGACACACACACAAAAATAAGCAGAGTAATTTAGGTTCCAAACTTGTGACTGAATGACTTCATCTGGATTTCAGTTGCAGCATCTGAGCCTTATTTTATAATACTGTCCACCTCTTTCCATGCTCCTTATTTATTTTACTTTTTAAAATCATATCATGACTGATGAAGGTATCCGCCAATAAGCTGTTCATAGCTTGGGAGAAACTTTCCTGGTAGGTATATTAGGAAAATACCAAGAAAGGTTAACAAACGGAAAACATAAAACAACCTAAGGAACTTACTGGAAAGATCAGATGACCTCTAGACTTTTTATAATTGTGGGAAAATTGGTTGAATATATTTGAATAGGCTGGTGTCAGTGTGAATCTGCATGATCTGATTTTACACAGCTGAACACCCTAAATTTTATTGAGCTTGGCAGTGAGACATGGCTGCTACATTTACTCAGCTTCATAGACTGAGACCATTTTGGTCCTCTAGGGTATGTCTACACTACGGGACAAGGTTGAATTAAGAGACGCAACTTCCGCTACATTAATTCACTCGACTTTTGGCGATGTCCACACTGCAGGAAGTCGAAGGGAGAACCCTCTGCCTTTGACTTCATTACTCCCTGTGGAAGCAGGGCTACCGGCATTGACTGAAGTGCCCCTCTCAGTTCGAATTAGCTGTCTTAACTAGACACCCTAATTTGGAGCATGGAAGATCAACAGTGGCCGCTTCGATCTCTGTAGTGTAAACATACCTTTAGTGCAATGGTTCTCAAACTTTCTGGCCAGCGGCCCATCCTGCTCAACACAAACCTTTCTATGGACCACCAGCCAGTCACCCATGACAAAAATGCCTTTGATTATCTCTAAATACCTTACATGATAAATTACTCATATTAGGCTACTGGGACATAAAAACTTAAATATGCAGCTATAACATAAGGGGCATATATAACTGGTAGGAAAGGAAATATTATTAAACACTATCAAAATAATTAAACAGTTAACGTACTGTAATTTAATCATGTTAGTTTACCGAACTTCATTTTAAATGAAGTAAAATAGTAAATCATATCCAAAACAAAAGGTTTCAAAGTTATCTTTATGTATGGCAGGGGTGGGGAAACTTTTTTAGGTTGCGGGGGCCTCTGAGCCACAGAAACATAATTTGTGCGCCACATAAGTGAGAGGCTAAAAACAACTCCCCAACCCTCATCTGATGTGGCCATCTAATGAGATGCCTCACTACCCTGGAGCTCTAGCCCCACTGGAAGGCGAGCGGGGGCAGGGAGGACCAAAGTTCAGGGCTTCCATCAGGCAAGAGTAACTCGTCTGGGTCCTGGGGCTAGCAGATTTTGCGAGCCCCTTTAGCTGCCAAAAATGAGGGCTTCAGTCTACGGGAGAGCACTGCCAGGGAGTGAATAGGGTTGCGGTACAGGAAGGGGTGGGGGATCTGGGTGGGCGGTAGAGTGCTGGCGTGGGCTGGGAACGGGGGTCTGGCTGGGAGATTGGGTGCAGGAGGGCATGAGGGTGTGAGGTCTGGCCACGAGGGAAGGTACAGGAGTTGGCTGGGGGTGGGGTGTCTGCCTAGAGGGAGGGGGCAGGAGTGGGCTGGGTATAGGGGGTCTGGAAGGGTGTGGGAGGATGCATTAGTGGGTAGGGGATAGGATTCTGGCCAGGAGGGTGAATGCAGGAGGCAAGGCAGGTTACAGAGTTTGTCCAGGAGGAATAGTGCAGGGGTAGGCTTCGGGTGCAGGGTTTTGGTGTGTGTGTGTGTGTGTGAGGTGTATGGGGGTACAGGATCTGGGCATGAAAGGAATGGGGGGGTATTTACCTGGCTTCACACCCCCTCCCCCACCACTCCCAGGCAGTGGGTCTCAGGCATGACCTCAAGCTTCTCCCATTGGCTGCAATTCTGGCCAATGGGAGCAGCAGGGAATGCCTCCAAGCAGCACATCTGTGTGCTGCCCCTGCACCAGCCAGAAGAGAGGGAGCAGTGGTGGGCGAGGCTGCCAGCTCCCGCTGTGAGCTGGATCTGGTGACGTTTGAGGCTTTCTTTCCCCCACACTGGGAAGCCAGCGCTGGTGCACCAGCCTCACCAGATGGGGGCTCGGCTTTAGCTGTGGCCCACTTGCAAGATGGCCATGGCCCACTAGTGGTCCACACACTGCAGTTTGAGAACCACTGCTATAGGGTGACCCCCCTATACCACATAGGCATAGAGCGTCCCCAAAATCATTCCCAGAGCCTGTCTCTTTAGAAAAGCATCTAATCTCGATTACAGATTTGTCTGTGAGGGAGAATCTGCCACAACTTGTGATAAATTATTTCACAGATTAAATTATTCTTATTGTTCCTACACCTTATTTCCCATCTGAGTACACCTACCTTCAACTTTTGGCCATTGAATCATGTTATACTTTGCTAGATAGGTTGCTCTCTGCTCTTTCCTGGTACTTAATGCAAACACTGTTTGCTACCAGCAAGGTCTCAGTTTTACTTTATGTCCTTTTATGATTTTTTAAAAAAGAAATTGGAAAATATAAGAAAAATGTCACTAAGTGCATGGCAGTGAAAAGTGCTTTGATGTTTCTGCCCACAAACACTTCTTCCGATGGGCAGTGGGTGAAGGTAGGGCTTGGGGAGGCAAGCCCTCCCCATCCTTGCCCCTTCTGCCTAGCCTCTGCCCCCCCCCGCCACTCCTTCTGCTGAGGCCCCGACCCCCTGAACCATGGGGAGGTGAGGCAGCATGCGGCCCCAGCCTCCCCAGCCCCAGAGCATGGGGGGGCAGCAACACTCTGCCCCTAGTATGCCTACAGTAGGTGTTCTTGGGGCAAAACATGGGCAGGGCCATGCCTGGCGGTTTGGGAAGGCAATAGCTTCCTCTACCTAGTATACATGCTGCCCCTGCTCCTTCCCTAACCAATGGCAATGTAAGCAAGACCAGACATTCATAGTGATGAAGTTTAATAGATTTCTCTGTGGGTCTTTGTATCACCCACACCGTTCCCTCTTCTGGGAACTACCTTTTAAGGTTCCCTAAGCTTATGAGGCTGCAGCAATGGTGTTTGCTGGGTGTTTGTATTATATTGTGCAGCAGGAAAAGGAAATGAGGTTCATGGGAAACAAATCTGGCCAGTTCTCTTTGGCCATGTTTTTACTAAACGGAAGATCGTAGCTGCCATGATCGATCTTCCGGAGTTCAATTTAGCGAGTCTAGTTAAGACTCGCTAAATCAAACTCAGAGGATGCCCCCATCGGCAGCGCATACCCCTGCTTTTGTGAGGAGTAAGGGAAGCCGACAGGAGCATTTATTTCTTTCGGCCTCCCGCTGTGGGGTTGGAAGGGAACCTTGAAACAAGGTATGTCAACTCCAGATACGTGATTAACAGCGTTGGAGTTGCATATGCATTCTTGATTTGACATTCTCTTTTAGTGTAGATCAGGCCTTAGTGAGAAAGTGTAAATTTTCAGGAAGCAGATCAGAACATCCATTCATTTTTCAAATGCTGACACCCTCTGTTGTATCTTTGGCTAGTCATGAAATTTAATGTGGGATTTTGTTTCCTGATCATTATTCTATTTTTTAAGATTTCAGTACTATAGAGCATCTGGTAGTTTTTATTTCACCTCAGAAAGTGTGTATGTGAAATGAATTGTGGGGAAAATGAGGTTGGTTATCATCATCTTTGCAGACTTTCTGCCTTGTGTAGATTACACCAGTGCAAAGTTAATATTAACTGCAGGCCGTTCTGATCTGGTAGTGTGTTCCACCCACTTTGAATACAGCAGGGACAGATGCAATTTGACCACACAAGGTGTGAAGTAGTGGTGAATCAGCACAAGAAGGTCTGCATGTTTTCTCACTCACAAAAGAGTAAATCAGAAGTGAGAGTACAATTAAGTCCAGAAAATTCTCTTGCAAAGCCACTTGCAGCAAAGGTTGTCAAGGTAACAGCTTTCCAAAGTACTTAATAATATAAAATAATAGACACTTACACAACTCTTTGGAGTGCCAAAGCACACGAATTCTCTCACTATTCCCATGAGAGATGTGAATAGCATCATCCCAATTTCACAAATATGGTGAACCCACAGTAGAGAGGTTAAATGACTTGTCCATGGCCACATAGTGACTCACTGGCAGAGTATGTAGGGAATCTAACAATTCTTGGCTCCTGGTCTGATTTAAGAATTCTGGTTCCATCTGCAGGGATATTCATTTGGAGGGCAGACTTGGGGTTTTTCTACATTGCAGGTTAGCTCAATATATAGCTTTGTTGACCCTACAATGATGCATACGCTATTCAAGAGCAGTTAACTCATTTGTTGACACCCTGAGTTAATGTAATGCTGACAGGCAGAATCAAACCTAGGTCCTATGGAGCCTGGTGCCTGACCCTCTAACTGCTTGATTTCAGCTAAGGCTGGATTTCAGCTGGATTTCAGCTAAGGCTGTAGAAAAGACTCATTCTTTCTCTCGGTAAGTGGTCTAAGTGCCCAGCTGGTGTGAGGGTTACACTAACACTGCAGTGAAGAAAAGCTCTTGATGACTATCATGATGTCTTGTTTTAAAGTCTTAATCTCTTGCCCAGGTTAAGCCATTCTTCCTTGTTCCATGCAGGCCACGTCATATAATTGGGTTTTTTAGTCAACGCTGACCTTGCCATACTTGAGCAAACTTCTACTATAGACATGCCTCACTGGTTCAAGTCCTAGTTTACACCATAGGATAAGATGAACTGTGCAAGTCATGTTCAGCGAGTACTACATGTTCACACTGATGCAGCTGTCCATGACTAAAGCAAATGTAGACCACGCCTAAGATTCTGACCTATAGTGGATCTACTGGCTAGAGAGGGGATGTGACAGAAAAATATTATAATAAAACATATACAGGCAGCAGATGTTGCAGCAATGTATGAACTGCACCCACTGAAATCAATGGTAAAACT